AGAAGGCTGAGGACTCGCTGGTGAATTTAGGTTCCAAGAGCCCACTAAATATACGCTAATTGAATGTCTTAGACATGGACTCATAACACCCAACCAAGGGCTCATCCAGCTCTGTTGAGCTTCATCTTGGTTCCCAGCTCATCTTAGATGACTGGAAAATTCAAGCTCTAGTGTTCCTTCCTCTTCTTCTTTTTTAAAAAAATTATTTTTTAAAAATGTTTACTTATTTTTGAGAGAGACAGAGTGAGAGCAGGGAAGGGACAGAGAGGGAGGAAGACACAGAATCTGAAGCAGGATCCAGGCTCTGAGCTGTCAGCACAGAGCCCAACGCGGGGCTCAAACTCAGGAACCGCGAGATCGTGACCTGAGCCGAAGTCGGACACTTAACTGACTGAGCCATCCAAGCGCTCCTTAAAAAAATATTAAATATTTATTTATTTTTGAGAGATGGAGACACAGAGTGCAAGCAGGGAGGAACAGAGAGAGGGGGAGACACAGAATCTGAAACAGGCTCCATGCTCTGAGCTGTCAGCAAAGAGCCCAACACAGAGGTCAAACTCAAGGACCGTGAGATCATGACCTGAGCCAAAGACCGACGATTAACCGACTAGGTTCCCCAGGCAATCCTCCATACCCCTTATATTTTATCTGCAGGTATCTTTAGGTCTAAAGTGAATCCTTATAGGCAGCATATAGATGGGTCTTATTTTCTCATCCATTCTGATACCTTATGTCGTTTGATTGAAGGATTTAGTCCATTTACATTTAAGTGGATTATTGAAAAATACAAATATAGTGCCTTTGGGCCACCTGTAGAGTTGGCTTCTGGTGATGTCTCTGGTCCTTTCTGGACTTTGTTGCTTTTGGTCTTTTTTTTTTTTTTTTTTTTTTTTTTTACTTTGTTTATTCTCCACTGAAAGAATCTCCCTTAAAATTTCTTGTAGGGCTGGATTAGTGGTCTCAAACTTCCTTTAGTTTTTGTTTGTTTGTTTGTTTCTTGTCCGGGAAACTCTTTATCTCTCCTTCTAGTTTGATTAAGAGCCTTGCTGGATAAAGAGTTCTTGCCTGCATATTTTTTCAATTCAGCATGTTGAATATATCCTGCCATTCCTTTCTGGCCTGCCAAGTTTCTATGAACAGGTCTGCTGTGAATCTGATCAGTCTTCCCTTGGAGATTAAGAACTTTTTTCCCTTGCTGCTTTCAGGATTCTCTCCTTGTCAGTGTATTTTGTGAATTTGACTATGACATGTCTTGGTGATGGTCAGTTTTTGTTGAATCTAATGGAAGTTCTCTGTGCTTCTTGGCTTTTGATGCCTGTGTGCTTTGCCAGATTAGGAAAATTTTCAGCTATAATTTGCTCACATAAGACTTTTACCCCATTTTTCTCTCTCTTCATATTCTGGGACTCCTGTGATTCTATTGTTATTCCTTTTTAGTAATTCACTGAGTTCTCTAAGTCTTTTATCTAGATATTTTGCCTTTGTTTCCTTCTTTTGTTTCTTCTTTATTATTTTCCATAATTTTATCTTCTGTCTCACTGATCCACTGCACTGCTTCATCCATCCGTGCTGTCACAGTATCCATTTAAGATCACATCTCATTTATAATATATTTAATTTCATCCTGACTACATTATATTTCCTTTGTCTCCAAAGAAAGGGACTCTATTGTGTCTTCCATGCTTTTTTCACACTCAGTTAGTATTTTTATAGTAGTGGTTTTAAATTCTAGTTCGGACATCTTACTTGTATCTGTGCTGATAGAGTCCCTGACCTTCATTCCTTCCGATTCTCTTTTGGGGTGAATTTTTCCATCTTGTCATTTTGGAGGAAGAAAAAAATAATAAAATAAAAATTAAAAATTAAAAACAAAGCAAAATCAAAGAAAGGAAACTAGATCCTCAATGTGTTTCAGTCTGCTTATTGAAAAAAGCATGATAGAATAGAGAAAAAAAGAAAGGAAAGGAAATATATTTTAATTAAAAAATATAAGTAGTGAAATAGAATAAAATAAAATACAGAAAATATAATAAATGATTTAAAAATATTTCAAAAATAAGAAATAATTTGTTCTTTCTGCCAAGTTCTGTGGCTCAAGTTATTCATATTGTTGTGTTAATCCTCAGATCAATTTCCTAGGTGTTCAAAAACGGTGTGATGCTGATCTAGCTGCGTGTCAGGAATGAGTCAAGCTCAGAGTCTCCATACTGCTCCCCCATCTTCACTCCTCCTCTAAATTGAAACTTTTAAAGGAAAACATCATTCACAAGAACAAAAAAAAGTAAAAGAACCTAGTAATAAATGTAACAAAAGATAGAAAAGCTTGTATACAGAAATATATATGATTTTAAAGACATGAAAGAAAATATGAATGAATGAGGACACTTCCTATGTTAAAGAGTAAAAAGATAGACTAATATAGATATGGCATTTCTTCCCAAATCTATCTATAGATATATGAAACTGCAATCAAAATCCTGGAAGGAATTTTTTTTTGTGGCAGTGAAGCAGATTCTAAAATTTCTATGAGAGAGTAAATGACTAAAATTACCAAGGAACTCTCAAAAGAAAAGAATGAACATAAGAAAGTTTATCTTGACAGATACTGAAACTTAATATAACATTATAACATTAACAGAGTATAGCATATGTAAGGACCAACAGATTGACCAATGGCATAAGAAGAGATTCTAGAAATGCAGTTGTGTATAGATATACTTAATAATATGGTGGTGGTGGCATGACAGATTAATGGTGAAAGTGTGGAACTATTCAATACTTGGAGCTGGCAAAATGGTTAACCACATGGAGTAAAATTTAATAGCAGCCCTACAGCAGTATCTATTGAGATGGATTGAGGATTTCAACAATAATACAACATGCAAAACTTTAAAACTTTTCGAAGAAAATGAAGGGAAATCTCGTTGTAACTTTAGAGTAGAGAAGAGTATCTTACTCAAGGTACAAAGAGAACTGGACCACAAAATTAAAATAAGATTGACAATCTTAAAATTTACAACTAATAATTACCATGTTGTACCTTCAGGAAAGAGAATATGTAAGCCACAGAATTGGAGACTACATCTGTCATTTGTAATACCTGTGAGCAAAAGAGGAATTGAATTCTGCAGTCTATAAGTTACTATGACAAATCAATAAGAAAAAGACAAAAGCCCTGTATAAAAATGGCCACAAGACACAATGGGTATTTTTAGAAGACTAAATACAACTTATGGCCAATAAGTATGAGGAAAGACATTTTGCCAAAATAATAACCAGGGAAATGCATGCCATAAAGAGACACCCATTATTGCCTATTTGAATGAGAAGGAGGATGAGAAAGAAGAGGAGAAAGATGAAGTTTGACAATTAGAGAAATTAGAGGCATTTCTAATATATCGGTGATGGGACTATAGTGAGCCATCTACTCTGAAAAACATTCTAATAATGTATCAGTACTTGCACACTCACATACATCCTGACTCAGCAATTCTACTTCTAGTTGTGCACCCAAGAGGCTCTCTTACAAATACACACCAGAAGACTGAAAATCAATATTCAAGGTAACACGGTTCAAATAGCAGAAAATAACATGTTGCCCCCAAACAATAACAACAAAAACAGATAAATCAGAGATGTGGAGTACAGATGGCGTTTCTCCAGTAACTGAATATAGTCATGTGTGAATCTGGTCCTCAGTCTAGACTTCCGAGTGACATGATCCACTTCTTTTCTTGTTTAAACTAAAGTGGTTCTCTTGCTTTCAGTTAAACCAGCTTCTATTACATCAAGGAATGTCTATTCAAAATCTAAAACATTAGACTTTAACATATTCGATGACTAAAAGTATCAAAGTATTCCCATCAACACCCGTGCATGCTTTGATGACAAATTTCAAGATGGCACTGATATGAAGGAGGCTTGAACATACTCATCCCACAATTGCAAAGAAGCTAGAATTAAACAACCTGAAAGGGCATGTTTCTGTTGCTCACTTACCAAATTCCCAACAGCCCAACTCCTGGGGATCCATGAGAACAGTCTGTCTTAAACAGGAAAAATCTGAAAAGATAAAAATCACATTCTTAATTTGCTACAAGACAGACCCTCCCCCCACTGAACTAATGCATAGTATATCAAAATTCTGCTTAGATTTAACCCCATTTTCCCAGTAGAAATACTGTTAGATATTGTGATTAGATTCCTAGGTCAGATACAGAGTGCAATCCTAAGCCATTTCATCCTTGATGCTGATGGAACACACTGTACCCAGAATGAAAATTAATAGGAAAACTTCATTAAGCCATTGAATATATTACCATGTGATTGGGGTCATTTTAAAGGCAAGTGAAATTAAAAAATGAGGTGGCTAATGAAGGACAGCTGAGTTTTGTGAAGATTCCAAGGGAGAACCTTGCATTTTCAGAGATTTTAAAGTTGCTAGTGTGATCTAACTTCATTTGGGACTTCCCTTTTCTAAAATCACATAAACTAGCAGCATTATTCATTTTTTAAAAAATCACTCCACTTTAGGGTTACATTTTACTCACAAATGGAACAACAGAAGAGGAAGAGGGAAGAAGTTTTAAAGGAAATAAATAGAGAGGCGTAAAGAAAGATGAAAGAACAAGTAAATAAAAAACGCAAGTGTTCCTCACAGAAAGAAATGGACAGTTATTGAACTGAGCTCAGAAAGAAAAAGCATTCAACAAGCTTTTTCATTGAGAGTAAGTAAAGAGATGAAAGGGAGGAAAAATAGGGTTAATTGGATCTTTTCACGAGATTGTGCTACTGAGAGAAGAACGTTCCATATTCTGTATGGAATAGCGATCTTCTAAGTAGGTAGAAGAAAAGAAGAGAGTAAACAATTGATTGTATCCACCAGACACTAGTATATTAGTATTGAAATGTGAAGACTATGATCTCACCCCAAATCCCAAATAAAAACCTGTCTGCCATCCTAGCCAAATGTATCTTCATTCCTAATCTCCCTTCCTCACCTGGGTTAGCAGACAACATTGTGGAAGTCCATTCCTCCACGGTAAATTGCCTCACTTTGTTGTCTTTCACATGCCAGGATTCCGGCTCCTTAGCAAACACCACACAGCAGAATGGATGTATTTTGAGTGCACAGACATATCCACAAGCATTTCTTTCATCATATACTGCAATGAATTTGCATGTGGATTTTATGTGCTTCTTCTGCCTACAGAAGTGGTAGATAGGCAACTCCTTAATGTGTTCTTTTATCTGTGTTTCTATCCTGTTAAAATCTTCCACTCTTGTTTTAAAGCCAATTACTTCTTTTTCTTCATTTAAACCAATAAACAAATATCCCCCATCAGTATTTGCAAAAGCAGAAACATAATGAGGGAGGATCTCTTTAACGCGTTGTAACCACTTTCCTGTTGAGAAGGCTTTCATTTCAACATGTGTGGATTCAGTAAAGGGGACTTTTTCTTTGTACTTAAGTTGTGTCCTGTTAAAAAAGGCATCAGCCAAGTCCTTTATGTCACTCTCTTTTTGTACATCTGCCTGTGGAGGCAATTTAGGTCCAGACAATCTCCTTCCAGTTTTGATCTTGGCCTTGAGGATCTCCAGTGTATCAGTGACACGCATCATATTTGTACATGTTACATCCCTTCTGTACAAATTGGTCTTTAAGGTGACAATCTGTAAACCAGAGGTTTCTGAGCTCCATGAGTTGACAAAAATGTAAAAATATTTAACTTACTGAATAAAGGATAAGTAGTTAAGAACAGATGGAAAAATATTTACAAAAGATTTTTCCAAATCTTGTCCTATTCCATCTCGTTGGTAACTATAGTTTTCATTCTCAATTTCAACCTCGATCATTCCCCCTCCAGAATTTAGTAAAGCAATAACAGCTTGTAAGATGTCTTCATTCTGCTTTTTACACAGTTTACGATCTTTCATTTTGTTTCTATTCTTCACCCCAAGAGTGACTCTTCTCACATTTAAAACCAGCTGAGCAGAGTTAATTTCCAAATTAACATTAATGTCCATTTTCCCAGTAGCCATTCAATTTCCAAGCAGAAATCTTTTCCTGTAAAAGAGAAAGAGCCATGAGTATAGAACCTGAGAAGGAAAGACAGCAAACTTTGTACGGTGAGTTGAACTGAGTACAATCCTTTGCTATATATATTCCACTAGATGCTATGGAAAAGATATAGGTTAAAATATTTTTTGATAGATTTTGAGCTAAGACTATAATAATTTTTATTCCTGTGAAGTTTTCAATATTTTTAAAAATATACCACTTTTTAAAATAATCTCTACACCCACTGTAAGGCTTGAACTCACAACTCCAAGGTCAAGAGACACATGGTCTACCAACTGAACCACTCAGATGCCTAAATTTTTCAGTTTTTTTTCATAGTTTTATATGACCCTCTTATAATTGTTTTCATCTCATCTTTATGTGTTTATATCCATTTTCTTTTTTAAAAAAATTTTTAATGTTTTTTATTTCTGAGAGAGAGAGAGAGAAAGAGAGACAGTGTGAGTAGAGGAGAGAGAGAGAGATACAGAATTTGAAGCAGGCTCCAGGCTCTGAGCTAGCTGTCACCACAGAGCCCGATGCAGGGCTCGAGCCCAAAAACTGTGAGATCATGACCTGAGCCAAAGTCGGACACTCAACCAACTGAGCCACCCAGGAGCCCCTATTCCTTTTCAAATCCCTTATTTTCTTTCTCCTTCCCTTCAGTAAGCCCTTGTGGGGAACTTATTTATGTTTTTTATCTTCTCAGTGAACCAAATTTTATATATTACTTACACTTTTCTTTTCAATGATTGCAACTTTTACCGTAATTTTCTCCTTTTATTCAGGAATCCTTCAGGAAAATTCACAGTTAGCGTCTAAAGACACCCAGCAATGTGCCATGTTAATAATTTTTCCATCTTGCTTGGATGAATTAGATTCACAAATTTTGGCTAATTGATCTTAAGCAAGGTGGGCCAAGTTACTGTACCTTCTCCCCATCAGACATTTATGTTTTCAGTGATGTAAAATTCTTCTATACCAGATGTCTGCTTTATATAAGTATCTCCAATCCGTTAGTTCTGTCCCTTTAAAGTCTACTGGGGTCACAGCTTTGCTATACATGGCTTAGAGATAGTTGAGAGTAAGTCTATCACAGGGAAGAATCACTACATTAGACTAGGAAAGGTCATAAATGGGTCAGAATATTCTTGTCTTCTGCTGCTGGACCAGTATCCTGCAGAGGCTCAGCTTATACCTGGTGAATGTCAATTCTGTCTCTATACATTCCTGGTCCTATGCAAACATTAGTTATGAACTGAATGTTTGTGCCTCCACAATTCATTTAATCCTAATTAAGACTCCAACTCTTATTGTAGAGCTGTTTATTTTCCCAGGAATTCTATCAAATATTTGGTTTATATGCTTAGGAGCTCTGATGTTGGATGCACACATGTTTACAGGTATTATATCTTCTTGGTGAACTCATTCTTTTCTCATTATATAAAGTCTTCATCCCTTATGACCACTTTTGACTTAAAGTTTAATTTGTTTGATATTAGTGTAGAAACCTCTGTTCTCTTTTGGTTACTAGTTGCATAGAAGAAATTTTTCAATCTTCCACTTTCAACTGAAGTTGAACACTTAGACCTAACATGAGTCTTTTGATACAGATGGCCAACAGTTATGTGAAAAAAAGTGCTCTCCATCACTAATCACTACGGAAATGCAAAACAAAACCAAAGTGAAATAAAACCTGATATCTATCAGAACGGCTAAAATTAAAAAGACAAGAAATTAAAAAGTGCTGACAAGGGTGTAGAGAAAAAAGAACCTTCGTGCACTGGTGGTCAGAAGATAAATTGGTGCAGCCACTGTGGAAACAAAGTAGAAGTTCTTCAAAGAATTAAAAATAAAAATACCATAAGATATAGTAATTCAACTACTGGGTATCTACTGAAAAAAAACAAAAACACTAATTTGAAAAGATATATGCACTCTTATGTTTACTGCAGTGTTATTTATAATAGCCAAGATATGGACGTAACCTAAGTGACCATTGAAAGAAAAAAGGATAAAGATGTGGTACACACACACACACACACACACACACGTGCATGCGCACACACACTGGAATATTACTCAGCCATAAAAAGGATGAGATTGAGTAATTTGTAGTAGCATGAATGGACCTAGAATTTATTGCATTAAGTGAAATAAGTCAGACTGGGAAAGAGAAATACTGTATTATTATTATTATTTTTTTTTTACAAATAGTTTATTGTCAAATTAGTTTCCACATAACACCCAGTGCTCATCCCCAAAGTGCCCTCCACCATGCCCATCCCCCCTCCCCCCCACATCCATCAGTCCTCAGTTTTTGTCAGCATTCAAGAGTCTCTCATGGTTTGCCTCTCTCCCTTTCCCCCACCATTTCCGCCCTTCTCTCTCCCTTGTTCCTCCGTCAAGTTCCTCCTAATCCTCCTATACGTGCAAACATATGATATTTGTCCTTCTCTGCCGGACTTATTTCGCTCAGCATAACACCCTCAAGGTCCATCCATGTTGCTACACATGGCCAGATTTCATTGTTTCTCATTGCCATGTAGTATTCCATCGTATAGATAAACCACATCTTCTTGATCCATTCATCTGTTGATGGACACTTAGGCTCTTTCCATGTTTTAGCTATTGTGGAGAGTGCTGCTATGAACATTGGGGTACATGTGCTCCTATGCCTCAGCATTTCTGTATCCCTTGGGTAAATTCCTAGCAGTGCTATTGCTGGGTCTTAGGGGAGTTCTATTGTTAGTTTCCTGAGGAACCTCCACACTGTTTTCCAGAGGGGCTGTACCAGTTTACATTCCCACCAACAGTGTAGGAGGGTGCCCGTTTCTCCACATCCTCGCCAGCATCTAGAGTTCTCTGATTTGCTCATTTTAGCCACTCTGACTGGCGTGAGGTGGTATCTCAGTGTGGTTTTGATTTGGAGAAATACTGTATTATTTAATTTTTATGTGGAATCTGAAAGAAAGAAAGAAAGGAAGGAAGGAAGGAAGGAAGGAAGAAGAAAGAAAGACCATATCTGTAAATACAGAAACAAACTCATGGTTTCCAGAGGGAAAGGAGTGGGGAGAATTGTAAAATGGGTGAAGGGGAGTGGGAGATACAAGTTTCCAGTATGGAATGAATAAGTCCTGGGAATTAAAGGCACAGCATAAGGAATATAGTCAATGTTATCCTAATAGTTTTGTATGGTACAGATGGTAGCTATGTGTGCAGTGAGCAAAGCATAATGTAGAATTTGTCAAGTTGCTATGTTGTTGTATACCTGAAACTAATGTAACATGCTTGTCAACTACCCACAAATAATGTTTTTGCAATAAAAATAATATAAAATAAATAAAATGAGTCTTCTGCAAATAGCACATTGATGAATCCAGGTTTTTAAAATCTATTCTGTGAATCTATGTCTTTTGCTTACCCAGGGTAATCCATTTATATTGAAAATAGTTACAGATAGTGAAGGACTTACTATTTTCATTTTGTCGTGCTTTCTGTATGTGTTCTAGCTTTTATCACTCATTTCCTCCCTTATTGCTTTCCTTTGTGTTTAATTAATTTTCCCCATAGTTAGCCTTAGGGTTCATTCTTACTGTTGTACTTTCTGGCTGTCTGGACAAATGTATAATAACACATATCCATCATTATACTATCACACAGAGTGTTTTCATTGCCCTAAATATCCTCTGTGCTCTGCCTATTCTTCTTGTGCCAATTCCCAATCCCTGACAACTACTGATATTTTTACTGTCTCCCTAGTTTTGCTTTTTCCAGAGTGTCATATACTTGGAATCACACAGTATGTAACCTTTTCAAATTGGCTGCTTTCACTAGTAATATGCATTTAGGAGTCCTCTGGAAGGACATCAGGATTGCTTCCAAATTTTGGCAATTATGAATAGACCTGCTAAAACATCCATGTGCAGGTTTTGTTTAAATATAAGATTTCAATTCCTTTGGGTAAATGCCAACGATCAAGATTGCTGGATTATATGATAAGAGTTTGTTTATAAGAAAATGCCAAACTATCTCGCAAAGTGGCTATCCCATTTTACATTCCACCAGCAATGAATAAGATTTCCTGTTGCTCCATATCCTTGTCAACATTTGATGTTGTTAGTGTTCTGGATTTGAGCCATTCTAATAGGTATGTAGTGATATCGCATTGCATTAATTTGCATTTCACTGATGACATATGATGTAGAACATATTTTCATATGCATATTTGCCATTTGTATATCTTCTTTTGTGAGATATTTGTTAAGGTTTTCAGCTCAATTTTTAAAATAATGTTTAATGTTTCTTTATTTTCAAGATGGGGGAGGGGCAGAAAGAGAGACGGAGATACAGAATTTGAAGAAGCAGCTCTGAGCTGTCAGCATGGAGCCCGACATGGGGCTTGAACTCACAAGCCACGAGATCATGATGTGAGTCAAAGTTGGACACTTAACTGACTGAGTCACCCAAGCATCCCTTCAGCTCATTTTTTAATGGGGTTGTTTGTTTTATCATTGTTGAGTTTTAAGAATTCTTTGTATAGTTTAGATAACAGTACTTTATCAGATGTGTCTTTTGCAAACATTTTCTCCCAGTCTATTCCTTGTTTTTTCATTCTCTTGACATCATCTTTTGTAGAGCAGTTTTTTAATTTTTAGTGAAGTCAGGCTTCTCAATTCCTTATTTCATGGATCATGCCCTTGATGTTGTAGCTAAAAAGTCATCCTGATACCCAAGGTCATCTAAGTTTTCTCTTAAATTATTTTCTAAGTGTTCCATAGTTTTGAATTCTGCAGTTAGGTCTGTGAACCACTCTGAGTTAATTTTTATGAAGCGTGGAAGGTCTGTGTCTAGATTCATTTTGGGGGAGGAGATGTGGATGTGCAGTAGTTCTAGCCTCATTTGTTGAGAAGACTATCTTTGCTCCATTGGATTGCCTTTGTTCATCTGTCAAAGATCAGTTGATCATATTTATGTGGGTCTCTATTCCATTCCATTGATATATT